CGACCTCGGGCGAGTTCCACGCCTTTTATATCGAAAGCGCAAGTTCCACGCCGATTGTATCGAGAGGAAAGAGAAAAACGTAAAAATTACGAACAAGAATCAGACGAGGAAAGTTCGATGATTCTTTCTCGTACACGAAAAACTGGTACCCCCACATCTCTACAAACGGGAAAAAATCGGTTACTCGGTTGGAAAAAACTAAGATAATACGATGGCGTTTGAAAAATTATACTACGATCCGTCGCATAACGCGGGCTATTCGGCGGTGGATAATCTAACTCGTGCTGTTAAACCGAATTTCTCACGAGGAGAAGTCGTGCGCTGGCTCAAATCGCAAGACGCGTACATGTTGCACCGATCATTGCGTAGAAAATTTCCACGATTGCATTACAACGTAACAAACATCGACGATATGTGGGAGGCAGATTTGATGGAACTCCGAAATTTAAAAAGTTACAAGGACTGTTATTCCTATCTGTTAGTAATTATCGATGTACTAAGTAAATACGTATGGGTAGAACTGTTACGCGACAAAACAAGTAACTGCGCGATAAAAGCTTTTCAACACGTACTAGCGAAAAGCGAAGGACGAGTACTTGTATATCTACAAACGAACAAGGGTAACGAATTTGTCGCGCAATCAATGCAGAAATTTCTTAAAGAAAACGACATTTGTTTTCGGGTAACACGCAATCCAGACGTCAAAGCCGCCATCGTTGAACGCTTCAACAGAACACTGAAGGAACGAATGTGGAGTTATTTTACGCATAAAAATACGCGACGCTACATCGATGTCCTGCAGGACATTGCACATGTTTACAATCATACGCGTCACGCGTCCACGAGAATGCAACCTGCGATAGTAACGAGACAAAACGCACGTATCGCTCGTGAAAATATAGTTCGTCGTTGGAAAAACGAAACGTTAAAGAAACAGGTGCGAAAGGTTAAATATCGCGCCGGAGATCTCGTTCATATCAGTAGAGCCAAAGGTGCCTTCGTGAAAAGGTACGAGGCTAAGTGGAGCGAGGAGATATTTCAAATTTATCGTGTTCTCGATTGGCGAAACCCTCACGTGTACGAACTACGAGATTTAGCAGGCGAAGTCATAGATGGTATTTTTTATGAGCAAGAATTAGCTCGAGTTGAGAAAAATGTAGAAGAAGAACAGTTTATCGTCGATCGCGTGATGAAGAGTAGAGGACGAGAAGCTAATAAGCAAGTGCTTGTTAGTTGGCGCGGTTATCCCAGTAAGTTTGATAGTTGGATTCCGGCTTCGAATTTAATATCTCTTCGCGATGGAGGAGGAACAATTCCTTCTGGTACTTCCGAGTACAGCAGTATGCGTCATTTTCCGGATAATACAACTTCATCCTTCATCACGGAATTACCTCGTTCTATCGTGTTACACGAACAATAAGAGATTGCGATAAGCGAGATTCAATTTCCCTGTATCTTTTTACACATACGTCATGGTGAAAATGTGATCAGATTCGTCGATGTTAAACCCGATGAGGAGACGAATTGTGCGTTTACAGCGAAAGAAGTTGCATTTCCAAATGGAATTTACAGCGATATCTATGAGCTTATTGATGCGATTAATACCGCGTGTAAACTTGCCGAATCGCATTTTTATTTTCTGAAAAAAGCATCTGGCGGCAAAGTCTTCATAAGTATTAACTGCGATAAGAAGTGCAAAATGCTACATCATATAAACTTTCCCGATAATCTTCTAAGAATACTAGGTTTTTCATCACCAATTTCCGTAAATCACCCATTTTATTCCAAACTCGCGATACGTAAACCTAATTCCAATGAAACGGAAGAGAAAACTTTTCTTACTCACGGATTTAATAAGAAGACGGGAGAACGACTTACAGACGATTACTCGAGTAGCGAACCCTATAGTTTGTGACGCGGTATCCCCGATAAAATGTTCATTTATTGCGATATTTGTGAGCCTTATATAATAGTTGATGTACGTACTCCTCTTCTCAGGATAGTTTCGGTCGAGATAAGCAGTCATAATTACGAATTTGTTGCAAATTTGATGAAGCATTTCTCATTTCCAAATTATATCCCATTGCGACGAACGAATTTTAGCACGATAGAAATAGATGTAAGAGATCATCTTGGAAAAAAAATTCGATTCGAATTCAGAACGCTGACAGTGACACAGCACTTTAAACGTAAGCAATAACTTTCTTTCGTATACGCGAGCGTGTCGGTATAGTGACAGTGTTTAGTTAGAAACTAGCGATGGAGTATGAAGAGTATTTTGATGCGCGGGACATCGGTAGCCGAGATGGAATACAACGTGTTTTCGTCGGTTCGTCCTACCAACGCGGACATGGAAACAGAAGCTTTCTCGGTGAACTATTCAGAAAAATACTATCATCCTAAGGTAAAGGTTCACGTTCTGTCGGAAAAGAAGCTTTACGTGCGGAAATTAACGTAATAGAAGACATCGAAAATAATAAGCCGTTGAAGGAAGCGGTCAAAAGTCGGCTCGCGGAATCTAGGGGTAATCTGAAGAGAAAAGTCAAAGAAAATATAAGTTCCCTGATGAGGGGGTCGAGATATAATATCCTCAAAATCCGCAACACTTCAGTTTCCATTCGGAGGTCGGAATAGTCATATCGCGCTTCGTAAACGATGTCGGGCAGTCAAAAGAAAATCATCGAGAAGTAGCATAGGGAAGAAGAGCAACAAAGTGACGAAGAAGAAAAAGAAAATTCGCGCAGCAGGGAGAAAAATAAAAAACTATCCACTATCCTATCGAGTCAAGAAACGCGACGTATCCGACATATTCTCATAATTGAGATAGGAATTCGTGAATGGAGAAAAAGCATGTTCTTTCTTCGTACCCACTCAAGCGAGTGTATAAAGAGCGAACTCGATGTCTTCTCTCTACCACTTACGCAAACCAGCATCGAGAGTTCGCAATGGATTTATTACAAACCCGTAACTTCGCTCACGGACGACTCACCCATAGAATTCGTCATACCCGGCCATGGAGAAGACTATCTGGATCTCACTCACACCATGTTGAGCCTTCGCATACGCGTAGAAAGCGAACGCGGGGAGAGCACATCGGTCGCAGTCGCCGACGTGGCAAAAGTAGGACCCGTAAATCATTTACTGCTTTCCATATTTAACCAAATGATGTATATTTCAATCAAAAACTCGTGTCGCCACCAAACAACGCTTACGCTTACCGCGCATACATCGAGGCGTTATTAAATTATGCTTCACCTGCAAAAACTTCCCATCTAACCTGTTGCTTATGAGACGCGGCTATTCCCGGCTACATGGACGACACGTTAGACTCGTCAAATCCAAATACGGCACTCGAGAGACGCGGGAAATACATTCAAGGAAATCGTGCGCTAGATCTCATAGGTCATCTTTACTGCGACGTTTTCAATCAAGATAAATTTTTAATTAACGGAGTGGAAGTTAGAATGAGACTCGTAGATTCATTTTGTCTTATGGAGACTAGAACGATGTCAAAAATACGTATTTTCGATGCCAGTTTACTCGTAAGAAGAGCAAAAATAAGTCCGGGTGTGCTACTCGCACACGTTAGAATGCTGAGTAAAACTACCGCCAAGTATCCCCTTACGAGAGTCGAAGTTAAAACATTCACGATACACACCGGCGTCGTGGGGGAATCAATAGACAATGCAATACTCGGACAGCTGCCGAAACGAATAGTTGGCTTTGTCGGGTGGGGGGGATGATAGAAAATTGAACCCGTTTAATTTCAAAAATTACAAAATAAATTTCTTTTCGCTGAACGCCGATGGCATGCATATTCTCAGTAGGCCGTTACAGCCAAATTTTTCAAAAGACGAGCCGCTCTACGTTGAAGCTTATCACACAATATTCTCGGGAACTGGCATTCACTTTCTGAACGAGGGTAATTCTATAAGCAGAGATGATTACGCCAATGACTACACTCTTTTCGCTTTCGATCTTACTCCGGATCTATCCGCTAATTGTGCAGGACATTGGAATCTTGTGAAATACGGAAGCTTACGATTTGAAGTGAGATTCGAAAAAGCCCTTTCCGTGACTATTACTTGTATCGTCTACGCCGAGTTCGATAACGTTTTAGAAATCGATTCCTCGCGTCAAGTCATTGTCGACTTTTCCGGTTAGCTCTATGCCTTTCGTGAGAAAAATATTTTCTCCCAACTACACATTATTTCTAATCAAATTCCACGTGAATTGATGAAAAAAGCTTCAGTCTTGTTCTTGATACCGACGCTGACGTTTCGTGACATAAAAAGAGTAGCGAAAATTCGAATATATAACGGATATAGTCATCAACATATAAGGTTTTCGCGAAGTCGAAGAAAACTTTATTCCGAAAGAAATCGCGGTTCTAGCGATTAATACGACGATCACCGGTCACTGGATTATGAAGCCACCTTATCCATTTGGAGAATTACCCGAGAGAGCAAGACGAGAAAACAACTGGCTTACACATAATTATCACGGAATCAAATGGTTCGACGGAGACATTAATTCTACATACTTTACGATACATTTGCGAGCTATTACACGACACGAACGCTACATCTATACCAGAGGACAATATACTCTCCAGATACGTATATAATCTGGAAGGAATTTCTCTGGCTTTCAAAAATCTGCCAGATTTTGGCGGTTATGGACAACGTTGCACGCACCACGGATTTCGAACCAACGTTGAATCACATTGCGCCTTACGCAACGCTTACAAATTGAAACGTTGGCTAGCTATACGAAATTGCAGCAATTCAAACTAACGGTAGTCTTCCTTCAGAAAATTGCAGAGAGAGCGACGTCGAGAGCGAAAAAACAAACAGCGGAAATTTTTCAATTGAATTTAAAAATCAGAAAAACGGTATATTTCGCAACATCGAAGCGTAGAGGAAAAATATCGTGACAGAAAAGGCGAACCAAAGCGAGGACGAACAAACGACAGCTGAGGAGAAAAAATCTTCCAAAATTCGACTCGACGACTGATAGAGATAAAGCTAACACTAGCGTTTCGCAAACGTCTAGTATTTTTGAAAACTGTACAACGCACGTACTGGCAAAAGAGGAAAATTCTGAATTTACGCATACATTTCCTCTCTCACGCTCACCTACGCCGATAAATGAATTCACTGGAAGTTTTAAACACCTTACATCATCTCAGTGTCCGACATGCGGGGGTCTATCCTGCCGACCGACTGCCGAGGACGTGAACGAGGTTGACTGCCATTGTTGCTAACACAGACGGTCACGATCGATCTGGCTCGACCTGCACTTGGTCGCCTTCTACATCGACGAATGCGGTATAGGAACATATTTCGATAGCTACTGCTTGTCGCCCTTGGACTCAAGATTTCTCTTACGACTTCACCGAAACTCCATCACGTATCGTTGGAATACGACGACGCTGCAAGGAATACTTTATCAAACTTGTAGACAATAATGCTGTGTATTTCTATATTTTATGTGTAATGGTTACAATCTTAGCCAGTTTCTTAGTCTGTTTACCTGTGATTATAAACGCAATGATCGAGTGATCGGACAGTTTATTTCATAAACTTTTTCTTCGTTGTAAACATAAAAAGATTAATTCTCATGCCGTATACTGTCATGTTTAATCGTCTACTCTTTTAAAAAGTATAATATAAAATATAAATGATTATTCTAGCGAAAGAACTATTTTGTGTAATAACGTTGCTTTATCAATAAACACCTTTTTTCAATTTTGTCACTGTACGCCTCATCTATTATTTTCTTAATCATTTTCTTAATCATTTTCCCTTCCAACCGACATCTTCTTTTTCATATTTTTGTCAGACCTAGATTAATAAAAACTTTTGTAATTTTTCGAAATAAGACTAATGCTAACATAAAGTGCAAAAAAAAAGAATTTATCTAAACCGAGTAAATCATCCCAGCTCTGTTACAAACAGGCACGAATTTGTCCATTCCTGTTTTCCTCCTGTCCTTCCAAACAAAAAAATCGATTGCACAGCCTTAAATAATAGAAAACTAAATAAGCGATAAAGAAAGACTCCCTCCAATGCGTCTAATCAGGTACGGACGCCGAAGTGCGAAAAAAAAATCGAAGGTCCATAAATCATACCCTCATTCCTCTCCGAAGCCTGAACCTTTCCTCCCTTTCCCCCCGGTAAAAAACCTATCTCGGGGACTTATTTTCTCCACCTCCGCCATTTTCTCGGGCTTGGCGGCTTTACATTTTCTCTTTCACTCTCTCTCTCACTCAACGCGACCTCTCCCTCACCAATCGTAGCGCGGGCAGCCATGGAGCGAACCAATGGTAGCGTGGGCAGTCATGGAGCGAACCAATCAAAACGCGTCATTTAATTACCTCATTACTCCACCCTCGCGTCACCAACCAGTCAGCGCGCT